GCTGCAACATGGCTTGGGTTAAGCAAGAAGGTTACTGCAGCTTCAGGCCACTGAAGGTAGAAGAAGAGAGAGGATGTTTGGGGTTGGTTTTTTTTTTTTTTTCAGATAGGATATTTTGATCTGTTTCATCTTCTTTGTGTCTCTTTTAGGTCTCATCTGTCAGTCTGGTAGCCTCCAAGGGCGCATCCAATTACATCATGGTTAGTTTGCTATCTATGTCAAACTAAGTGATACAAAACCACAAAATAAGGTTTGGTTCTTATCCTGATACTGTCTCATTAACTACAACGTTGCACAATTGTATCAGTAATATCTGACCCTTAGCTATAATAATTCACTAGGATGATGTCATCTAAGCTGTCACGTTATATATAGGAGGTACTATGCAAATAAAGCTGATAATGAAATGCCTTCCTTGCTTTTGAAGGTTGACTTCAGGGTCTTAGTTTTTTGTGTACAGAAGAAAGATCCCAGCCTAAGCGGCTCTGCCCCTTATTTCATCATTTTTAACCCCTTGAACTTTTTTTTTTAGGATTTAAAAAAAAAAAAAAGGATTTATCATCAAAAGTGTCTATACGCTTTTGCTTCCTAATACTAATTTGGGGGGGGTTGATGCAAGGCCAATACCAGCCTTCACCTTTGGGTTGTACGTGCATCATTTTGGAAAGACGCGTGCAGGTCATGCTTCAGATCTTGCAATGTTTTTCCTTCTTTTGAACGAAAGACCGAAAATCCTACCAATGTTAAAGGTATAATTATATTGCAGGCCTGCTGTGGTATTTTCCTTCTTTCATTTCCCCCTCCCTTCCCCTTTCCTCCTTCCCCTTGTCATTCCTACAAGTACTCAATGCTCCCCATGGTAGCTGCAGAAGTGATACCCTGAAGGGAAGCTTTGCTCAGATGCAGTACCCACAAGTTAGTTTGGGAGCGGGGGTAATTACTCTGTGTCCTCTGTCCCATGCTAAAATCCAATTATTGTCAGCTGTTCGGTTTTAGGATTTATGTCTTGGTGTGGAACGGTTAGCGTTTTTACAATTATTGTCTAGAACTCCACCGCGATTACATGTAAATCTCTCTGATTTCAGCAAGCCATGCTGTCGTTCCTCCTGCTGCGGTATATTCGTACTGGACGTTGCAAAATCTGACAGCACCTTTTCATGTCAACTGGGCTTTCATTTGTGTCTTGGTCATCAGAAAAGCAGAAGCTGTGCTTTCCTCCAGGTCCCACCATTGTCCAATTTCATCTTTTTTTTTTTTTTTTCTCGGAATCATCTACCAGTCTAATGTTTGTGCCTCAGATCTGTCTCTTAAGGTGTTGAATCTGCAATTACTTCTTGTGTTTTTTGGTTTTTTTTACAATTTCTTTCCCTCTGTCAACCTCTGTTTTGTCTCCAATCAACTCAGCTGACCAGACCTGCGATTCCTTCCCTCTAGATGTTCTCTATCTCTATTCCTTTATTGTTTTTTTAAAAAAAAAAAAAAGACAAATAGAAAAGATTTTACAGTTCAAAGTCTCTTGGAACTTATATTAGCATCAGTTTTGGAAGCCTGGAGTTGCCACAACATTTCAAAATGGAAGGGTGGTGCACCTTGGGGGGGGGGGAAGAGAAGACTATTTGTGTAAAGTGCATGGTTAAAGAAACCCAACCGAGTAAGCAAGCTTAAATAAAGCCCCCAAAATAAAGCAGCCACACAACTTTTTCTTGCTACTAATCTTATTTCTGTTTCTCCCCCACTCCCAGTTGCTTTGCAAATTTGTAATTCACTGCTTCCAAAGGTTCTTCAAACTTGCTCTACTGGTTCTCAGAAGCAGGCAGACTTGTTTTTCTAAGCTCTTCGGTATACTGACTGAATTTATTTTTCATTTTGCTCCTACAAAGAATCTCGGGACGCTCCTTGAAGGGCCCTAAATCACTCTGGTGTATCACATGGATATATTCAGTGTGTACTCCACAATACTTTAATTACCTGGTATGTGAAACCGTACAGAGCTGTGCTAAAATGAAGGCACTGTTTAGTAATCATAAAGACCTTGATCCAACACTTAATGGAAAAGCGCCTGATTGTAAATAACGCAGTCAGCTCCAAGGGGAGCAAATTTTAAGGAAAACCCTTCCCAAAATAAAGGAGAGCTCTCCCTTTCTTGTCGTGGGTGCAGGGGGCTTCACAGGGGGCCTCCTAAAGGTGTCCAGGAGCAACTTCTACCCTGTTTGCTTCCACATGAAGTTCCATGTTTCCCACGGTTTATAGGGATCCACCGATGGTAAAGCTCGAGGGCCGCTAGATCAAGGTGGGGTGAGATGAGGGCACGGGCTGCTCCCTGGCTGTGCCTGAGCCCCCTGCTCTCGGCAGCCTTGGAAAAATGATTTTAAAAAAAACGAGGCTGGGCCTCCTCCATGGGCTTCATGAGATTCTGTCCGAAACGGGCCAGTTCTGGGCAAAATGAGGAAAAGGCAAAGGGGTGACGAAAGGGGGGGAAAAAAGAAAACAAAAAAAGCGGTCAGGCCTGCGCTTGGTGAAGAAGGGCACAAGGGCTGGCGTGAGGGGTGCGGAGCTGGGTTAGCGGGCGGGCTTTCTCCCACCAAAACATTTTATTTTTAGAATTTTGTTTCTCCCGGGCGGGGCCGGGCCGGGAATGCGGCTGGAGGGGCCGGGGCCGGGCCGGGAATGCGGCTGGAGGGGCCGGG